GACCTCTAGAGAGGAGGACCTACGCATGGAGCAAGAACAAAATGAGGAAAGTGCAGTTTTCCATCTTTGGACCCAATTAAGCAATTCAAGTCTGCTTGGCCAACGACTTTGACTCTTGCATTCCATTGCTAACAAACCAATGAATTGTTGGGCACATGGTCCACTTCTGCGAAAACAATGTGGTTTCGTTTCGTGGTGCTTTTGTTTTTTAATAAACACCAAATCATGAGAAAACAAAATAATAATAATAATAATAATAATATCAAATCATAATCATTGTGGGGGTGAAAAAATTTCCAATAGTTTCTACTTGACTTTTACATATAAAGCACGAGAATGCATATATTTTCCCTCCGATATGTCATTGTGAAAGCGAAAGTGAAAGCATTTAAATGAAGATTTAAGTGAAGGTTGGATTTTGTCTGGGAATCGATTATTTTAATTAATTTTTTATTTTTTTATAAAAAAGTATGTAAAAATTAAAAAAATAATGTAATAATTTATAATGATATCAACAATAAAACGTCATTTTAATGACATATTTTTAAGAGAAAAATTTAGATTGAGAGACTTAAATTGAAATACCTTTTATATGTTGGGAATTAAATTGATACAATTTAAAAATGAAACATTTATTCATAAATTTTTGTTTACCTATTTATATTTACTTAGTTCAAATTATTTTTTTATATTCTAATAAATCTTGTGGGTAACATTGTTATCAAAATATCCCTAATAATAATAGGGTGAAACGTGCATTAATGTTCATATTGACAGTGTGAATGTTTCTTGATGTGAACATTTGCACTATCAAATTTATTTAATGTGAATGTTCACATCACCAAGTTGGTAAGGGTTCAAAAAATATTTGTAAGAGTAAAATTATCCATAAAATATCTTAAATATAATAATTAGAATTTGGCGGATTAAATGCTCAAAATAATAGGACTTATTGAAATATAAAAAGTTTTATGGACTAATTGGGATATAAACATAAAATGTCTTATTGACGTATGAGAAATTACACTAACTTCTGTCATTGTAATTATTTAGATGGAATGAAAATATTAAACTCATGTACTATCTCTTTTCTTACTTTACTTTATTTCTTCTTCTTCTTCTTTTTTTTTCTTTTTTTTTTCCTTTGCTTTGTTTTACTTTTTTTTTTTCCAATGTAATTTCCTACATTTTTTTACTAGGAATTGTTGCATTTTATATAAGTATGGGATTTGTGAAATGAGACTATTAATCACAGGGGCGGGAATGTAATTTTCAAAACGTCAAGTGGTGGGATGTAATTGGATCACATCTCAGGGGGTGTCAGTGTAATTTATCCGATTTATATTTTTAATAAAATCAGTATTTTAAAAATACTCTTAGCAAGATTTATCAAACAAAATTCAAATCGACTATGAAATTCTTAAATAAAAAATAAATAAAATTTACCATCATGACTAACGTAAACAATAAAATTTTATTATGAGGTTAGTTTCAACAAGAAAAAAAATTATGATTTTTTTTTTATAAAGAATTTTATAGTCGACATTGATCTTATTTAATAGATGTTGATGAGAGAATTCTAAAATTATTAATTTTATTAAAAATTAATATTTAAATTAAAAATTATATCACTTTAAAATTTAAAATATAAAAATAGGCACTAAGGATAAGATTGTCTAACTAAAATGAAAACAAACTCATTTGTCCTTGATAAATGATGTGCTTCTTCTCAAAGGGGCTTGCAAATTACAAAAGGGGACCAGCTTCTCTCCCTTTACAAATTGGACGGGAGAGGTGAAAGGTTGGCCCATTAGATTCAATCTTGGACTACTTTTTGATGATTCAAATTATTCACATTTTAGAATATGTTGAGTTCATCATTCTTATATAAAATCAAGTCAATCATCGGATCTGTTTTGTATGAAAAAAACAAACGGTTAAAAAACAAACGATTCATATAAAACTGATCGGAACACGTAATTGTCGTTATTTGATTGGCTTGATTTTTTACAAAGATGATGTACTTGACGAATCCTAAAATATGAATAGTTCGAATTATCAAAACAAAATCTAAAAATGAACACAATAGACTGGACTAGACTGTCTAATATAATTTGGGACTCCAGACAGTCTGAGTCCTTAAAAAAAATTAGATTATCTTTTTTAATTTAAAGGAGACTAATAAAAACCTTTTGGTTAAATATCCCAAAATAATCTGACTTCTCTCTACTTTTGAGAGCTTCTCTCTCTACCCTTTTCTTCTTCTAGGGTTTCTTTTTTGAGCGCCGTTGGGGATGGGAGAGGGGGGCTCCGGCCTCCGGCCACCTCTCTCCTCCTCTCTACCCCCTTTCTCTTCCATTTTCCTCTGCCATTTTCCGGTCAATAAGCTTTGAAAGCTTTGCTTTCCATCTTCTCCCTCCTTGTGAGGTGTGTTTCCCTTTTTAGTGGGTGTACAGTCTATCTTTCTCCACTCTTCCTTCACTTTGCCTCACTCCAGTCGTAGCCCTCCCCAGACCTGCCGCCGTCTACCTCCTCTGTGCTTCATGCCGGCATTGCCAACACCACATCAACCCCAACTCCACCACTTCTCGCCGAATCTGCTGCCTCCACACACCGACCTCCTCGGTTTTGGCTTATAGGAGCTTATATACAAGCCCATGGTGGAAGTGTGCTAACCCATTGGTTTGAGGTTGAGTTTTGGTCTTTTTGTTTTGTTTTTTTGGTTTGGTTTTGCCTATGGAATCCATAAGTGCTTCATGATACTTTGTGATTGTATTCTATGATCTATTCTCGGCATGCTCTATGGCCATTTGTTGGCCTTTGCTTGCAGTACAAGTACAAGCACTTGTTGTGCAGCTGGGTTTTCTTCATAGTTTTACTCCTATGTTTTTTTTTTTGTTTCTCATCTTTCCTTTGATGGTGTAAGTGTTTTTTTTTGAATGGATTCTCTCCTTGTAAGTGTCGTTTAGCTACTTTAATGATATTCCTCTTCTGATAAAAAAAAAAAATATCCCAAAATAAATTACAACTACTTATCATGAGATTTCAATTTGACTTTTTTTTTCCCCTTCCTTTGAAATCCCATCGAGTACAAAACTCATTTTAAATTTAATTCGTTCTAATTATACAAAAACAAATTCATTTTCAATTCCATCAAATTTTTTATTCGTTCCAAACGGAGGGTAAAAAGTTACGCTCTCCCTAACAAGAGATACGACCTAGCCTGCAACGAATCATAACCCAAGAACTAGGCCAAATAGAAACATGTAAAACAATCACAATAAACAAACCTCTCACAATCCGAGAGCTTAGTGTTGTTCGCCCTCTCCATCACTAGAGTGGATCCATTATTTTTTATAAAAAAAATATTGAACATACAATATTTTTATACAAAAATATTATATAGAATAATATTTTTATAATCACAAATTATTATGATGATTTTTTTGATCTTCAATAAAAATTATATTTATATGACATTACTCGTTTTTTATTAATCCATTTTACAAAACTTTACTAGCTAGGTTGGTTGAGAGAGACATATATTTTTGTTTCATGGATTGTCCATATATATATATATATATATATCAACTTGGTCATATGAGTCACCTCATATATAAATGACAAATTAAGAATATAATAATATAATAGTATAATACTAGTAGTGGCATGAGAAAATGATGCCTATATATGAAATTAATTAATTTTGAAAGCTTTGTTGCGTGAATGAGTTGGCCGGCAAAATCAATTCCATGATTTAACATGTAACAAAAAATAGTTCATAAGATACTTAATGCATCCAATAGAAAGAGTCCAAACAAATAAATACAAATTAAAAATTAGATAGAGTCCGACAACTAACCAAATACAGTATAAAATTTCATTCAACTCTAACAATACATACACAAAATTTGTTTCTTAAAAAAAATGCCTACGATATTCAATATATGATTGTGATTTATTTAAAATATAAGTTTCATGAGTTAAAATTCAATCAGATGTTGTCTCTTTGAATATATTTATGTGCATGAATTTTATACACTTAATTTTACTCATCTGTAATATTTCAAAGTGGGAGTGACTTGCTTAGTCAATTTGGCAAAAGAAGGTTGGCTTATCACTGAAAGTATGTATTGACCAAAAGAGGATTAGAACTATCCTACATACAATTTTTCTCTCTTCTCGTTACCCTCACTGGCCTCAACCAACATAATTTTTTTTTTAGAACATTGACCGACTTATTGTCTTGGATAATAGAGAGATTTGTCTGGCACAACTTACTGACTTAAGTATTAACGAGGCCTTGGCGGCATCACATTGACAACGCTTCGTTTGATAACATAGGTTTGTAGTTAAAAAATTATTATAAATTATCACATTATTTTTTTTTTAATTTTTATATTTTTTTATAAAAAATTAAAATAATCAATTTCCAAACTAGTTGAATCCAACTTTAATGACATACGTTTTGTGTGAGTGATTTTCCGATCACACTGCCCAACTCAGTAATCAGTTGAAGAGTACTGGCAGAATAGATGATACCTGGCTAACCTGTAACAAAGTTGGCAGTGTGATCGAAAAATCACTCACACACGTTTCATGGCATATATTTTGATTTTAATTTTTAAATCAAAACAAGTTCAAGGCTTGACCAATTTGAGTATTGGACATAGGTTGTTGTAGCAAATGTTAAAACTGATGGAATTTTAATTGAACTTCAACACTCAATTGACAAAAAAATTAAAATTTAAAACTTAAAATCAAAGAGTTGATTTAAAAATAAGTCTTTGCTCGTTCACTCAAGATTTGATTTAAAAATTTAAAACCAAAGCGTTGTCCTAAATGTGTAAAATTAAAAACAAATTTAAACATTTCATCATGTCATCACAATTAAATTTTAATTTTTTGTTAAGAAAAAAATAGAATCATCTAGCCTATGAACATCTAAAATTTAAAATATTTTGATTTAAAGCTAAAAAAATTCACTAAATACAGACCAATGTCAAAGGAAGTATAAATATATTAATATAAGCAGTGATACAAACTGTGACATATCTATAGTTTTCATCAAAATCTAAGAAAATTAGCAAATAACACAAGAATTTGGCTCCTCCTCTGCTACAGTTCTATAATAAGGGTATGCTAGGTAAGGGTATGTTTGGATATTAATATAAAATATAAACAGTGATACAAACTAGTGACATATTGATAGTTTTCATCAAAATCTAAGAAAATTAGCAAATAACACAAGAATTTGGCTCCTCCTCTGCTACAGCTCTATAATAAGGGTATGCTTGGTAAGGGTATGTTTGGATGGGAAGGTTCTGATAATAGAATGGGTAGCCCTTAAGCTGATCATCTTTCTTCTTGTCATCGGCTTTCTTGTCATCTTTCTTAGGCTCATCTTTCTTCTTCTCTTCTTTTGCTGGTCCAACTGTGACTATCTCTGTGCGGCAAAGCTTTCTTAACTTGGCCACCACAACCACAGGGTCTATGTCCCCTGTCAATGTCAATTTCCTGTCTTTCATGTCCATTGCTATTGAATCAATCCCTGCAAATTAAACATATCCAAACAAGACACAAGACTTGGGAAAGTTTTTTGTATTGCAAGATTTGGGTTCTATTGCTTTGAATTTAACAATGACAATCTATTTGGTACAACTGGTCAGAAAGGATTAGGATTATCTGCAATGATAGATCAAGATCTCAAAATACAATCATGGCAAGATTGACCCGGATATGGTGTCACTGATCTGCATCAAGCACAATGGTGATTGTTGTGCGGCCCGTGAGACTCATTTAAGATATTATTTTAATGATTTGAATTGTTTAAATTTTAAAAAATAGCGAGAATAATATATATCTATAAAAAATCAAATTAATCGGATATCAATAAACTCTTCATCAAAGTATTGTATATATAAATAAAAAATATATATGTATCAAACTGAATATGAATGTGATTTGATGAAGGAGTTTCCAATATCCAATTAAATTGATTTTACAAGTATATTCTTATCAATATTTTCTAAAATTTGAATAACTCAGATTATTAAAATAAATCTCGAAACCAGTCAAACGGGCCGCACAACAATTACAGTTGTGCATAAGGACATGACCCCAAATCCGATTGAATCACCCTTAAACCACCCAATAATTGTATTTTTTAGATCTTAAACCACCATTGCAAGATTATTGCAATAGTGAATTATTGTAGAAAAGACAGTCAAAAAAGAAAGAAGAAAAAACATATATATAATTTCGGTTGAGAAAATAAAAGAAATGACTATAATTTCTTATCATTTTATTTGGATAAATAAAAATTTAATGATAATATATGTGCCTTTTTATTTTCTTTATTTTGTGTTTAAATGGGCAATTTAAGTATTAAAAAATTTTCATGTATAATTTTCATTTCTCCCTAAATCTTATCATGAAAAACAAAACTTGAATTTTAAGACTGTATTTGAATCAATAATTTAAGAATACTAATTTTTGCTTGCACTTATTTTTTTCATCCATAAATCTTATTAAATTTTTTATGCAAACACAACTTAATAAATTTTTTTATTTTTATTTCTTTCACCATTTAATTATTGAAAATGTTAGTAACAGTACCTGAGAGGCCAGAGACAATCTTCATGGCTTTTTGCTTGCCTTTATCATCATGTAACTCCAATTGCAGTACCACTTTCTGTCAATAATCAAAACCCATAAACAACAAGATAGATCTATATATTAGATCATAATCTCAATCAAGTTAAGCTTTGATTAATTGGTTGAAAGTAATCTTTTTATTTTTTATTTTTTAGTGAGAGTATACATGCCAGAGCTTAATCATACTAAGAATCTAAACCCTTGTTACACTAAATTCAATCATACCGATTCCTCATAATTCACAAAAGGTTGATAAATATATATATTGGTAATGAGAGTATCCAGAACTTTACCCTGATTAAACCTAGATATACGCAGTTCTGTCGCTCCACACATAGTAACTAAATTTACTTCGTTAGAGCATCTCTAATCTTTTATAATTTTTTTAAAATTTAAATTTACGAAAAAAATAATTAAAAGTATGCTCCAACCATTTCATCGAATATATATCAAATCAACAGATATATAATTTTTTCACCCTGTTAAAGATAAATCTTTTTTTTTTCAAAATTTTAACCAATCATAATTTTATGAAATTTTTAAGAGAATAAAGATTGGAGAAGGTTTTCATTTATCAAAAATGATGAAAACAGATTTTTAAAGTAAGTTTAAAAAATTTCAAATTAAGATTATAACCAAATTTTTATTCAAAATTGATGAACTAAAACAAGACAACTAAAATCATTTATGAAATTTACTGAATCGTTTAAACACTGAGGAACCTAGGAGAGAAAGAGATGGAAAAGAATCAGAATCTAGAAAAAGTTGTAGAAAGCAATAATATAAAAAAAAAAGTAGATTGAATTGAAGATGGAACAGAGAGAGAGAGACAGAGAGTTGGAAATCTAACCTTCATTTTCTCTTGAATTTTAGTGATGTGAGCAAAATTTGCTCAGGAAAATTTGCAGATCAAAGTTGAAAGATCAAGAAGGAATACGCTCAAAACTAGAGTGAGAGGGGGAGAGAGAGGGAGAGAGAGAGAGAGAGAGAGAGAGGTGTAATGGACTTTGCCGAGCTGGATGTATCTAATCCAAAGAGTTGTATGTATGCTAACGGGTGACATGCCTGTTTAATTAGATAAGTAAAATTAAAAATTAATATTATAATATATTTATTATTTAAGTGGAAAGAGTATTATTAATTGAAACTCAAGTCATGACTTCAAATCTTATTCATACTTTTTAATAATAATTTTTCGTTTTAAGAGAAAGAAAAGCCATCAAATACTCCCTCTTTTTTTCTTTTCTTTGTTTTTGTAATAAATCATCAAATACTTTTTTAATTAATATTTAGGAGTGTTTTGAAAAAATGATAAAAAGTTAATTTTTGTTTTTTTATTTGACTTTTTTTTAAAAAGTGATTTGGAAAGATAGTTAAAAGTTATTTTTGACTTTTTTAATTAATATTTATGTTATCACATCATAATAAAATGACCAAACTATCTCACCCAATTTTAAAAATTTATATTTTTACCCTATATAACCCTAAATAATATAAAAAATGTAATTATAATTTTATGTGTAATTTTTTTAAACTTTTCAAAGGACTCCATAACTAAAAAAACCATCTAACTTTTTTAGTGCCCAAGCTGCAAACGAAACTTTTAATTCAACTTGGCAAAAGACCACCTATGCAGATGTAGAGAGAGAGAGAGAGAGAAAAGTGTGTGTGTGAATGAGTATGTGTGGGAGAGTGTGCTGGGTGGGTCTATTTTTACCTGTCCCACAATGAGCCAAGATTCTCTCCTTATTTTCTTTCATTGGTTCTTTAATTACTGGGTTATTAGGCTTATTTTTAGATTTTATTTTGATAATTTGAACCGTTATATTTTAAGATTTGTTAAGTATATTATACTTATGAAAAATTAAATTGATCGGATATTAAAGACTGTGTGTTCGGATAATCGAACTAAAAACTATTTTTTTAAAAATTTAATAAATTATTTTCCAAATACATACTTTTTAATATCTAATCGATTTAAATTTTTACAAGTATGATATATTCAATAAATTTTAAAATGTAAATAGTTCGAATCATTAAAATTGAGTTTAAAATTAAGCCCAATACCCTAATAATCAAGGAAACAAAGAGAGATTAAGGAGATGATCCTGATTCGCCCCACACGAAGGAGGAGAAGAAGACGTGTATGAAAATGACGTCGTCGTTTTTTCTTAAGAGACGATATATTGGGATATGAAAACGACGTCGTTGATCCTGATTATTTTGACATTTATTATCAAATTGATAATATATCGTCTCCTTAAATTGATAATATTATCAATTTGATAATAAACTAATTTGATAAAAATAAATGTCAAAATATTATTTTTGAATTTTTAAAAATGATTTCTACCAACTAAAGATAAAATTATATAAAAATGATAAATATTTCACATTTTTATTTTTTAATTTTTTTATCAAATTAATTCTTAGTATGTGCTTGAATGATAATCATGTAATGAGTGATTGTTTTTATTGATGTTATTGGATGACTATTATGTAATAGATAGTTGTATATGTTGTTAACAAATATATATATTTTTTATGGTTATCATGTAATGGATGATTATTAGGTTTTTCTAATGTGTAATCGATATGTTTAATATATTAAATGCTTTAGTTTTGGATTTTTCAATTTCATTGATTGGTTTAATAACGATATCAAAATTGTCGCCATTTGATTTTTGAAAAAATAGAAATTAATTTAACGAAAATAAATAAAAAAATATTTTCAAAAATTATTTCTACTCTCTCAAAAATAAAATTATATAAAAATATTGTTTTTAAAAAAAATTCACCAATTTCATTTTTAATTTCTTAGAATTTTTAAAAAAAAAATAGATTCTGAGAACCAAACCAAATCATATATATATATATATATATATATATATATATTATTAAAAAAAGTGGCTTTAATTTTTTTTTAAAAATAGATTCTGAGAACCAAACCAAATCATATATATATATATATATATATATTATTAAAAGTAGTGGCTTTCCTATGTTTAGGTCATACATTAGACCATCTCAAATGGTTATTCAAACTTGTAATTAAATTTAAATTTGATGAAAAATAACATTTTTTCCTGCTCCAACGGTTTCATCAAATACGCATAAAATCTAGAATTTCACTTTTCTTTCATTAAACTGATGACCAATGCGTATTTCATCAAATCACTGTTCATTGCCGTTAGATTTTCATCACCGGATATTCCCCCGAATGTCTCTCCGGATGACCACTTCAAGGCAAAAATTGGTAAAAAAATTACATTGGCCGGTCATCCGCTCGGATGACTACCTTAAGGGAAAAAATTGTGAAAAATTTACACTAACTAATCAATTGGTTGGACATCCACCCGGTCGATCGGATTGCTGATGAAGTTTCAAAATCTCCGTTGGAGCACTTAATATCAAATGAACTTTTTACTCAAATTTTGTGAAAACTTTAATGCACCATTGAAGATGCTCTTATAAGGGTTTTTTTTTTCCTAAGAGAGTCACGTCAGCATGCATTTTTTTAATTACATATAGAGTTATATACAAACTCAAACCTAATTTAAATTATACTAACTTTGTCTATCTTATATGGACTCTATTTGACAAATATTTGTTTCCCATATATTTTTTATGGTAAATTGAGATAATCCACAAATTTAAGGAAAAATTAGTCTCTCTCTCACTTTTCGTAATGGAAGAGATCCACAAAATTATTTTTTGATGTCTAAGATCCCTAAACATATCACAGAGAAATTTGTCCTTACCAAACCCTACCTGATCACAGACACATCCCAGAAGTCGAGAATGAGAGTCCGTATAGGAATGAGGACGCTAAGCTGTAGAAAGCGGTGTCGCATGTGATTGGGTTGGATGGGAGGCCGATGCCGAGGAAGGTGATTCAGACGAAGAGGCAATCGGATGACAAGTTTTGGGATTTTGCTAGGCAATTCTTTTTTGGATTATGGGGGTTTCGGCAACGGCCATACCCGCCGGGAAGACCGATTGATGTTGCTCAGGCAATTAGGTATAAGAAGCTCGAGAACCAATATTATGATTGTAAGTCTATTTTTGGTTGTGTTATCTGGTTTGCTTCAGAGTTCTTAAAGTTGCTGCTGCTATCTCAGAAAGCTGCTACAGAGTTCACAGAATTTATGCTTTTCACTCGCTTGCTTCATGGTTTGATCTGAGGGACTGTGTGCTGGGTGTCCACAAATTTGCCTTCTGCAGTTCGGTGAATTGGTGATGAAAGGGTAGGAGTTTCTGCAGGTTCTGTTTTGTTATTCAGCTATTTTTGCATTTTGTAGAGAGAGCTTTGTGACTTCACCAGCCAAATTCTTTAACTCAACGGCAGTAGCAGAGGCCAGTTCCTTTGCATAAGAAGCTTCTTCAGACAATTTTTTATTCTGTACATGTAAACCACTGTTCTCCTCTAAAATATGAACATGTTCTAACATTAGTTTCTCATTCTCAATTTCCTGTACAAAGAAACAAAACCATCTATGTAAGGTCCATTATGCAAAAAAAAATATAAAACCCACATCAGTTCTTGCTTTCAGTTACAAAAACAAAGCCTCCGTTTGGGAAGTGGGTTGGCTTTTTGGCTTTTTTGGCTATTTTAACCTGGGGCTAAAAAGCTTGGTTTGGGAAGGGCTTTTTGGCTATTTTGGCTTTTTGGTGAGGTGGCCTCCTGTTAATTTACCAAAGTGCCCTTGATCCACGTGTACTTGTAATTCAAAGATTTTGGCATCCACGTCAGCTTCCCAAACGGTCCACCAATGTTGTTTTTTTTTTTTATTTGTTTTTTATTTTTCTCTTATTTTCGGTTTTGATTTGCCGCTCTGGTTTGGACCAGAGAATTTCTCTGGATTAAATTGAATTTTCTCTGGGTTTGAACCAAAGAATTTCACTGGATTGAATTTTCTCTGGATTGAATTTTCTTTGGATTGATGTTGAGGGACCTTAGACATTATAAAAATATTGAGTGTCCTTTATGCTATAAAATCATAATACCAGGGACCTTAAAAAAAAACCCCCCAAATTCGATACCAATTTTGCATTTAACGTTTTTCTTTTTAATTCTTTTAAGGGTATTAGGACTTTTTTTAATATTAAAATACTTTTTTTTCTTCTTATTTTTTGTGCATTATTCTATACCTAATATCAATTTTATATTATGGATTTGCCGTTTAAATTTTATAATGATTCTATATATAAATTTATACTTCCTTTCTGACATTATTTTATATAATTATAACTCACAAGAAGAAAAACCTACAAAATAATGATACTCTCACGGAACCTCTAAAGCTTGGATTTATTACTTGAATTACTTTTTTAATTGTTAAACAGTAAATTCTTGTGACAACCCTCACTATTGTTTACTGATGACACCACTGATTACTGCTAAACTGAGACTGATCATGATAAGTAATTGAAATGACTGAAATTCTGACTGATTGATTGAGTGCATTAGTTTAAATGCATATCTATCTGTTTGACTGCTAAATGATCTGTTCATGTTTTATGTTTAAACTGCAAATTAAAGGCCTTATCGGCGGCCAAATCCGAAATTGATTAATGTTTTATGCTAATTGGAATTTATGTGATTTTATGATATATTTAATTGAAATTTGATTTAGAATGATTAAATTAGATTTAATAATGCTAATTTACAAGAGTTGGACTTATTCACCCAATTGCCATGCTTAGTGGGCCACTTTCTCTAATACCTTGAGGCTTGTATACACTTAGACATACCTCTTCCTCAGCTATTTCCTAGAGCAAACCGATTGAGAGAGAAAGAGTAGGAGGATAGGCTTGAATTCATCAAACTTAACTTGGAGACTTGAAGAAATTGAAGGCAAATTGCATAGTTGAGCTTCTACACTTGAAATACAAGTTCTAAGGTAGGAGAACCATCTTCAAAAACCAAAAAAATGTTTTTAATTTTTTTTTTCAACGTCCATTAGTTCTTTTTCTGGGAAAACGTGTTCTTTGGAAGTGATGAAGCTTTTGTCTGTGGGAAATGCTGAAGT